GCTTACATAACATAATATACATTAAACTTGTGTCAAGAAAATATCTACACACAAATATTTCTCTAACATTTTAACAATGATTTAGTGTTGGAGTTCGTAAATCCATATTTCAATAACTAGAAAAATATTTGGAAAAAAAGCAAATATTATTTTAATTGCTCCAGTGGTTGGCAAGACGTTTATGTAACGAGTTGGAGGTCTTTCTAGTCTAGTGAGTGTGAAGATTACTAGTTGTAGGGTGAATGATGATTGCTTAATGTTTTGAAACATGCTTCATTACGGATTGAATAATAAAGTGTACAATATAATAATATTAACACTGTATTTAATTCCTGATTTATTGTTGCCCCGGAGACTAAGCAATCTTATTTTATGGCATAGTTTATGAGTGATTCAATGGTTTAGAGAATATTTGTATTGGTTAAGACTGACCTCTTGTATTCAACAGAACACTTGCTTATCCAGTATAGTAATGGTATGAATTATAATTTACACGCTAGGGTGCATCAGTATCTAATGTAAGCCTCAAATTTGATGGGACTAAAAATTTGAGAACTATATGTAACACCTGAATTATGGCTGGCTCAAAGTTTGATGAACTTTCTTGTAATAATCAACACTAAAATATTCCCAATCTATTACTATCAAAATATGACCTTCCCAAAGTTTCAAATACGTTTTGTATTGGTTTAGAGAATAAATATTCACTAACTTAAAAACTGTAATAACCTGGTAAAAAACAAAAAAAAATCAATATTTTACAAGCAGTTTTATTTATATTTTTTGTATTTATGGCAAAGCTACTGAGGCTATCTACAGTCGTCTCTAGTTTTGAGCTAATGACCTCTTGCAGCCAGTAGTAGCACCTTAACACTCACCATCCATGCTAATGTATTGACTGTCACTCTTATAACGCACCCACGACTTAAAGTGCGGGAAATATTTTGTGGTATTGTACGGATTCGAACCTCGCTCGCCAACTCTGAAATCCAGGGATCTACCACAGGGACAACTCAAGACCAAGAATTCGATAACTTACGGCCAACTTTGCAGAATATTTCGTGTAATTGGATGGTATTAAAGCTAAAAAAAACTTTTTAAAAAGATAGACTACGACTAGCCTTATAAGAAGTTTAGGTTTAGAGCATTTATAGCTATTGATTGAAAACTCCTTGAAGAACATACTGATCAAAGAAATTACTTGTAATGACTTGAACAAGGATCTAGCTTTTGTTTTTTAATGTTCTTGTAATAATCTAGGCATTGAATGGAATAAATTGTGAGAGAAAACCATATTCAATGACAATGACCTTTACGACGTTTGACGTGAAAAAGTATTGTAATGGTTCTTGCTATTACTGACCTCACGTTAGATATGGAAAACATTGCAATGATTTGTAGTATGACTAAACTAAAGTCTGACAAAAACAGCTGTGCACCATGACTGTGCAATATTTTACATTTTTTTGTTGGTTTGTGCTATGATTGAACTAGTGTTGGTGGAATTATATTTAAGAAAACATTATCTTTGTTGTAAGCAGCACAATGATTGGACTAATGCTTGAAAGAAACAACTTTGTGCAACAGCATTGTTTGTGTGTGTTTTAAGACTTTTTGATATTGATATGTAAGAACAACATAATGTTGTTTGAGAAACTTATTTTTTTCTTAACCTTAGTTCCATCGAATTTGGGGTCGGCCGGTATCTTTATAAGCCAAGAATTTGTGCACCCGGGTGGCTAGCCCATTCAGCAACCGTAAAGGACGATCATGTTCGGTGGCGGGGATTCGAACTTGAGAACCTCAGATTGCGAATGGAGCCCTTTAACTATTAGACCATGCCAGGCCCGAGAAACTAATATTATCCTATTTAAATCTTGCTATGTTCATTGTTTCTCAATGCTAACCATTGTTCAGTGTTTTTATTATTGCTATTGTTATTATTTTTTTCAAGCATACAAGAGTTCAAGTGATGAGTGAAAATATTCCATTCCTATTTGTTTATTACCTATTATATCTTACGTGAACTTCATACAATCTCCAATAAATAGACTTCTTGCCGAAGGGGGCGATCTTTATCACATTGGCTATTTTTGCATTTTATATTTCGTGTTCCAGAACTTACATTTTGTTCCATTATTGTTTGAGTACAAATTTCGGGAAGCATTTCAATCTGAAGGTCTTCGGTATGCTAGAAAATGGACTGTATTTTCGTTGTATTTTGGCTTTCTTAGGTGTGAATCAAAGCGTTGTTTCTGTTCACGGAAGCGATACAAAACCCATGAACATGTAAAGAGGTAGCTGTAGATAGTGAAAGACACAGAACAAATCTGCTTTATGACCATACAGTCCCACCAAGAGTCCCTTTCCAGTTTGTCCAGAAGCTCTATTGTGACCTTCAAATGGGTTTGGAGTTCTTCTATCAATACTAGCTGTCCGTAATAAACTCAATAAGTCTTGGTTTACAGTCAAGGAAAACCTGTATTACGATTCCTCTGACCATGTGCCATAAACAAGACCGTTTTACATACCTGCACTGTGAATGGACTGGTTTTTTGAGACTTTAGTGACCTGTACTAGTACTGGACGAATATCTAGAAGAAAAAAAACAACAAAAAAAAACATTTTGTAATATTCTGTGTTAATATTGGATCTGTGTTTGAGAAAACGTTTTGGAATAACCGTTTTATAACTCAATGTATAGATGAGAACAAGGAAAGATGCAAAGCTTGAGGACAGTTATTGTAATAAGTTGGATTTTGGCTAACCCTGGAAACGAAAAACGTCCTTTACAGGTATGGGCTATTTATAGTCTACTATATGAAAATATTTCTTGATTTATGGCTTCAGTTTTGGTGGATCTATTGTTTAATTAGTCTACTATGTGAAAATATGTCTTGAGTTTTGGCTTTGGTTTTGGTGGATCCATCATTTGATTAGTCTAGTATGTGAAAATACTTCTTGATTTATGGCTTCGGTTGGTGGATCCATTGTTTAATTAGTCTACTATATGAAAATATGTCTTGATTTTTGGCTTTGGTTTTGGTGGATCCATTATTGGATTAGTCTAGTATGTGAAAATACTTCTTGATTCATGGCTTTGGTTTTGGTGGATCCATTGTTTAATTAGTCTACTATGTGAAAATATGTCTTGATTTTTGGCTTTGGTTTTGGTGGATCCATTATTGTATTAGTCTAGTATGGGAAAATACTTCTTGATTCATGGCTTTGGTTTTGGTGGATCCATTGTTTGATTAAGATGGTGTCTTATGATGGAGTGATTATTACTGGCCCAATCTTCAAAGCGTTTCTTTTGATGGTCTTTACTATTGTATAAGACTTTCATTGTCCCATTGTTTTAAAACATTCTTGCTTCTTGAGTATCTGAAATTTAAATAAGCTTCTGTAATTGTTCGTAATATGAAGGAGCAAGTGTTTGAAAGTTCAATTATAAAATATTAAAAGTCTGGAGTAACGTTTGAGGAAACTAGTTGCTATAGCATCGATCTCGACAGTTCCAGTATGTACGATTACTAATCCTGTGTTCGAAAGCACTTGCAATAAAATAACCTAGATTGAAACTGGTCCTGCGTTCAAGAGTACTTTCTATAAAACAACCTACATTTAAAATGATCCTGTGTTCGAGAGTACTTTGTATAAAACAGCCTATATTTAAAATGATTGTGTAGTTATTTGCTTTTTCTGAACAATAACCAAATTTTTTAAAGTTCTATCTATCTTTCTATCATTAACATACTTTGCTTTGTTTAAACAATAACCAACTTTCTCATGCTGAAGTCTTTATCGGACCACCTGTCCTATTCTAGTAACAAGTACATGACCGTACGTCACTTCAGCGATCCTTCTGATCTGGAACTCGGGGCTTGTTTCAGAAAGGCCAGTTGTGCTCTAAGCGTGGCAGGTGGAGGGAGTAATAGGCACAAGTAAACATCGAGAACGTGAGAACCCCGATTTGTACGTGTTTCGTAAGTATATGTATCAGTACACGCTTCGTAAATGTATGTGCGTTTTCAAATGTTTTATCTCGAGAAATAAAAGAAAAAGGCTGTGGCTCAAGGCATGAATAAGAAATAAGGTGGCTAGGAAAAGGTATTGCTTGAAAGTCTAGGATTGTTTTGGTGTTCAATAAATGTAGGCTTATTGTTTACCACATTTTTTGAGTTAGTTAAAAAAATTTAATCCAAACACAGATAATGGATTTTACTTGAAATTTCTTTTAATTCATCTACAACATTTTAGATTGTATGTTAAATCTATCACTTAAAACTATATGCTAGTAGCTTTTCCTGGTTTGTATTTTGATTTCTCATTTTGGATTACATTTGTGACATTTATTTTGAAAGAAAATGTTTTTTTACATAATGATACCAAACATTTACTAGCACTGAATTTGATCCTTTGGACATGTTTTGGACTTTATCTATATCTAACTAAATGAAAAAAAAGGCTGTTCTGTATCTACCCCCAATGGCACAGCGTTATGTCTGCGGACTTACGACGCCATAAGCCGGGTTTCGATACCCGTGGTGGGTAGAGCACAGATAGCCCATTGTGTAACTTTGTAGCTTCAAACAAACAATTATTCTATATGTTCACAGCAGACTTTTATCCTTTTACTATTTTGACGATATTCGGGTTCTAGTATAATTCGAAGTTGTTTTAGTTTTCACAGAGAAAGTATTACAATACTGTGCAGTTTACAAAGGCATGTGATTTATGCTGTCAATGGAATATGTCTATCTATCTATATATATTAATATGTAATTACAAATTCAGCTCATACTCAATTAATTTTAACTCACGTTACTTATCGAGAACTGGTATGAGTTCGAGAGTTCTAATTTATTCTGTGCGCGTCTGTCGCGGGAAAGAAGACAGTGATTTGCTGGGCCATGTGACGCGTGCCACTCTTGGTAGGGTGGTGCGATTGCCCACGTGACCATACTACCCTAATCCGCCCCCATGACTCAAGTTAGAACAGAGAGCGAGAGGTGATGCTTTTGTGTCGTCACATTCTAGATATATTAAGAAGAATATTGTTTCGTTGATAATTCCAGTAATTTTTTTCTATGTACTTTGAAGTTATTTTAACTGAAGACCTTTTTGTCGCTTCGTTACTGGTAAGTGCCTAATTATTTTGTAATGCACTTTTTGATAATTAAATCTTGTCCAAACTTATGTCTTATATTGCACACTATTACGTAAACCTCGCAAGTCCAAAAGCTATAGGACATAACTTATGAGTTAAACTATCCCTGAGTATCAATTGTGTATACAGTATGTAATTCACTTTATAGAGAATACACTAATATTATCATGTATACTATGTTATGGCTATTGGTTCCTTAGTATTTTTTTTCGAAAAATGAAATATTACAATTTCAAGCTCTGCATTGTTGGTTGTGAGTTTTGCATTTTGTTGGAATCTCGGTACATGAAGATGATTTCCCCATTTTTTTTACTTGTAGAAGTATGTGACTAAAATGCATTAGACAATTTAAATGCTACGACACAATTAATTACTTAAAAAAAAATCAACAAAGTATTTTTATGATTCAGTTGGCATAAAATATATGTACACACGTGTAGCTTTTATGTTCTAATTGATTATTAGTTTTAACAACATTTTAATGAAAGGTTTCTCGGTTGTTCATGCCAAATTTGTTTTTATTTTTAACAAAGACACGGCCGTTGTATAGAATTAATTACTGACGCTAAACTCTAAGTATCACTGTCAAATTATAAATAATTTCAAAGGCACATAGAGTGAAAATACGGAGAAATGTTTCATGGTTATTAGAAATTTGTGTTTTCAGCATGGTTAAAACAATAAAATATCCTTTTTAACTGCTATCGCCATCTCGTGACTAAACTAAACAATAAAAACTGGACTTTGGTTAAATGTTGCTTAACCTCTTCTATTTTTATGTTTGTATGCTAGATTTAAACAGAAATAGGAGTATTTAAAATGATCTTTTTTTTTACATTTTTACATCTTACACAGGAAAAAGAGGTATTTCGTTTTATTTTACTATCGAATAAAAAAAAAGTACAAATATTCAACGTTTTTACGAAAGAGTCAATATTTCATGCTTTATGTAAGTGTTAAGCAGAACTTGATAATTTATGTGTTTTATATGTGTGTATATAATGCACAAACTATTTTCATTTAGATTATGCTTTTCCCTGAAGATTCACTTTTAACTTTCATTCATTCCTTGATAATGTCGGATGAATCAAATGTAATATCTTAAATGATTTTTATGCTTGTGAATGATGATTAAACTGAAACAATGTTTAAAAAAATTATGTAAAACGACACTTGTGTAAAATATTTATTTACAATTAAAAGGAATACAACGTTAAAATCATTACAGAATAAATAGTTATTAAAAACAGGGACTTGCCTTAAAAAAGACTACATATGTTTCGGTGTACTATGACAGGAGATAATGTCATAGAACACCGAAAAATATGTAGAGTCTTTTTTAGGGCAAGTCCCTGCTTTTAATAATTATTTATTGTGTAATGATTTTAACGTTGTACTGCCTTTTAATTGTAAATAAATGTTTAGAATATTTGTTGCAAATTCATAAAAATGAAATGTTACATATTATTCTGTTTTCAGGTTTAGCGACAGGGGATATATAATTTTGCATTTAAACACAACTTACGACACCAACGGTTAGTTTGTCAGCTCAGCCTATCGTAGGTCTTTCCTTTGTCAGCTGACTCCGGATTTTTCCTCCTCTTTAACCCACGCCATGTTTGCAAAGCAACGATTGGTCGATAAAAATAACGGCTGCACGGGCCTCTAAGCAGCGTCGTGGTGTGAAGAGTTTTTTACTAGAAAAGCCGTTGCACCAAAGTTTAGCAACATACGTCACTTTCTGCTCCTTCATAACATATTTTTAAGTAGGCAACAAAATTTCAAAATTGAAGGTATCATAATATTTTTTTATAGAAATGAGCATGGGAGATGTAGACCTGGTGATACCAACAATAATGTTCGGCAATATTGAACGTTTGATAGGCTACTGTAGTCCACACTCAACAACTCGACGGGCACTGTTTGGTCCCGTAGATCACGAGGAGAACTTAAAATTCGTACGCGAAGAGTTTAGCAAGTTACAGCAAAACGACGAAAAAAGGTGGAATTTTGATTTTAAAAACGAAACGCCAACGGACGGACGGTATGAGTGGACACCAGTGAAAGACAAGGAAGTAATTCATCCATCTTATGAGCTGAAAGGGCTACAATATTGTAAGAGTTACGGAAAATTAGCCAATAGCCTTGTGAAAGTCCGAGATACAAAGTTCAAACCACGTAGAACTACAGTTAGTTCGTCGTCGAAAACACTTACAGGTGAAAAAAGGAATATAAGAATGCAACAAACGAAAATGACAGGTGAGTTTTATAGGCTTGATTAATTCAATTAATTCTTATTTACTTCATATATATATAGTTCATTGCTTTGGATAATATTAAATATAAAAATACAGATACGGGCTGTCTGTTTTGAAGTCTGAAAGTCTCGAGTTTTAGTACTAGCAGTAGCAAGTTAAAAAAATTCAACAGTTAGAAGTTTTATGATGCTTTTATATTCAAATATAGCTTAACTAAGTTTGTTTGTGTTTTATTTTATGCATAGGTCTAAACTTACATACTACTTTTAATATCATTACTAGTACTAGCAGTGTTAATAAGGCTAAGGATGTGTAACTTACGACTTTGGAAATACTTTTGTTTTGATTTTCTGAAACTTTTAAGTCCCTACGACTCATAGACCTCAAGCCTATAATTTAAAGGTTTTAAGCTATCTAACTTAAATTATAACGTTAGAAGTGGAAAATAAGGCCATTTTCATCAAATATGTTATGTTGGATGGTCCTACATTTATCTGACTGTGAAGTAAAAACCACAAATCATTATTACTAATACTATTAGTTTTTAGGGTATATACTATCACTGTAAAGTGTAAGCCCTTAGGACTGCTATAGTGGCGGCGTTTCATACTTCACTTGGTGAATAGGTTTATGTTAACAAACCATGAAATAACTATGTTTCTGTGGGCATATTTAATCATATAATCTTGCTCGTAACTATGTTTAACTTTTAATTACAAGTTTCTTATAAGTTAGTCTATTTGTTATGTAGTCTTATAACTTATACTTCTGATGTAAATGTAAGGCACAGTTTAATAGACGAAATCTGCTGAGTGTTACAAACTTTTTTCTTGGGTTTCTTTAGTGTATTCAGATAATCATTTAAATAGCCTCTTTATGTTATAGTGCATAACAGTTAGCATTGCAAACTTCCAAAAAAGCCTTCATTTTGCTTGAGTTTGTTAAAGCTATGCATTGTATAAAAATTGTAGATTAAATCAAATATATTTGTCATATCTAGTGAATAATCTACTGTACGTTACAAATTTTAGTATTAAGTTACTTGCGAAACTCATTATGTGTTTTATATATTACATACAGTTTAATAACTTTTATCAGTGATTTCAGAAAAGAAAACTTAGTCTTGGTGTTGCTAATCTTACGCATGCAAGTTTTTACGATTTTCATTTTAAGTTTTGTTGAAATTAAGAAATTGATATGGGTAGTTTATTTAAGCAAGCAAGTGTATTTCATGACCAGGCTTTACACACATAAACATCAACAAAACAACATATCTTTCTATCTTATAAACGTAAACAGACTGTGATATCTCAATTTAGTGTTTCTTCAGTATTATTTTTCATGTTTCATAAATAACTTTTAGATCAGATAAGTATGTTTCGAAATGTTGAATGATTGATTAATAGACTCTTTTTTTATTTTATCCTTATAACATTAATCAAGATCTGATACTGTTGTGGTCTTCTTTATTAAAAGTAAACAAGTGAAAACCTTACCTTTTATTTCTTAAAGAATAGATTTCGAATTTTCTACCTCAAATTATTCCATTTCCATTCTATAAAAACATCTGGAGGTTCTTAATCTTTTGTATTATGTTATAAAAGAGTGCGGAAATCTGATTAAGAAAAAACATACGTCATGTAAACTTTAAGTATCTGTATGCCTTCTGACAGTTCTGTGGTTTGCTTTACCACCAATAAATGAGTAGTAGATAAAACTTTGCAATGATTAAGTTGACTTAAAGACTGAAAATCGTTTTAAAACTGAAAGTAGCATGCCTTGATTTGTAATTACGTTGTATAAGGGAAAATTAGTGCAATGTGTCATCTACTTTGTAGTTTTCTGGAATTGTTTAAGCGATTTTATTTGAAATTATAGATGCGCACACGCACCATTGTTAATATATGTTTACCCTGTGTTATATTACTAGCACTGTAACCTCCACAATTTTTTAATGTAAACCATTCATCGGAATTAAAAGCCCCTTTAGTTGTTGAATCTGCCAGATTCTAGACAATGATTTCTAGGGCACATCAATGTTTGTTTGATAAAGTGGTTTTATCTGTTATTGGAACCACATGTCTTGACAAGTTACAGCCTGAACTTAAGTTATGATTCCAGGGCATCCCGTGAGGGTCACGTGGCACAATCTAGATCTAATGGGAATGACAACCACTGTCAACCAGTATTGCTTGTGATAGGTGCGTAGCATCCTGATGTAGATAACCCTACTTGCATTGACTCTGCTTATTAGAATGTAGAAGAGATAACGATACCCTGATATCAAAGTTCGTGCAACCCAAAATAGCCTGAAGCTTTATTTATTTACTTACTAAATAAATTAAATAAAATTTACTTTACCATTGATAAAAGAATAGGTTAACAAATTCAATGACCCCATTAGCACAGCGGTATGTCTGCGGACTTACAACGCTAGAATCCGGGTTTCGATACTAGTGGTGGGCAGAGCACAGATAGTCCACAAAACAACAAATTTAATAAATGCACCATTGAAATGTATATTTAAAATGATTTTATTCCCTATATATCATGATCATTGTGTGTTATTTCATATTCTAACAGAAGAGATAATGTGTTATGTATTTGCGTGAGTTAGGTTATATATACGTGTGTGGGTGTATGTATATTAATATAGAAAAATAAGCTTTCTGTCCCAGTGAACATGTGGAAGTACTGAAATTCGCATTTTTCATCATTATCCCTCGTTTAGAAGTTAGTGAACTATTTTTGATACTTACGGCTGGGAAAAAAGTAATTTGATTTCTATGGTTTGTATTAGCGGGAGTTGTAGAAGCATTGTATCTCTAAGCTAGAGGGCGTAGCTCACCAATGTCTTACACTGAGGTGTCATTAGGTAAGACAAGAAATGCACAAGTTGAAGCATGTCGTATATTGAACGCTCCTGTTCGGATCTGCACACGATACCACAGGCAAAAAAAAAAACAACAACAAAGCTGTGGTATAGTGATGAATAAGACTGCTGTTTTCAAAATTCGTAAATCGGATGTGCTTTACTTGAATAACAGCAATAGTTTTTCCTAATAAACGTAAAGTTGTTTACTTTTGACGATTTTAACTCCCAATTTTCAATTTCTTTTATGAGTATATGTTATTTTACTGTGTTTTAAAAATGTCACTCTTATACTACAGTTATGTTTTGGTTAATGCCTTAGCAACTCATCTTCTTTACTATACATTCTGCTCAACGGTCAAAAGTTTTTCTTCGCAATTATGTTAATCAAACGTGTCTGTCACTTCTTTAGACATAAAAATACACGTTAGTTTACTTGAAGAGCTGCAAACGTTGAACGTGTGTGTTTTCATTGTAAATCTGATCGAAACAGAAGAGAATACAGGTTAATCTTCGTTTAATTGTTTTTGGCCACACGCTTTCATCGAGGTGTGTCGAAGCGAAACGGACAAATAACAACTATAGCTTAGTGCAGGTTGTGTGTTATCTTGATGTTTGTTGCCCGTGGTCTGGCGCCATGTTGTCAGGGAACACATGAAATTCACAAGCTTGGCCTGAGGGTCTGATTTTTTTTTCTCAATCATATTAAATTGGAAATGATTTTACTTCACAGTACGCCATCTGATGACACTGTTAACCATGGTCAGGCTGGAAGTTTGCTGTAAAACAATCTATAAGAAATCATATAATTAAAATAATGACCTGATTGCCGTCCTTCTATTCCACTTTTTTATTTGTTTAAAACTGAACAGCTGTGCAAGTTTAAGAATAATTCTTAGCCTAAGGCTTTGCCTTGCGAAATGTGTAGTGAATTTAAATCAGTGAGTTCAAGGTCAGAAAGAAGGGATACCATAAGCGGGAAGGCTGTTCGTTTCGAATGGAGGCAATGTATGCGGGTAACGACAATTAAGCTTGTGTGTATTGGCCTAAAGTTGACGGCCAATGCATACATATAATATATCAGTGAAAATAATATTGTGTACTTTTATTTACAGTGGGTTAATAGAAGTTGTGACATTACAACTGCTTGTATATTTTAGCTGAGGTGTTGTGAAGTGTTGGCAACGTTTTTGAGAGATAGAGTAGCAAAAACTATGGATATTTCTTGGTTTTGTTGTATTGGTACTACTAGCTTCTTGGATCTCGGTGTCAGAGGCTTTAGTTGGAAACTCTCATTGTAATTGGCAAAAATATTCATACTGCTAGATGGCTTGATCGGTTTAAGAATTAAGGACACAGAGGTTCCAGTTAGCAAGAACGTGGAGGAGGTGGACATAATAGATTGATAATGAATAAACATTTGTAATCACTGGCAGTTTTTTTGTTTGTATTTTTGGTTACTATTTTCGATGTAAATTTAACACAGCAATTTGCAAGCAGTTGTAAAACAATCCTAACACATTATTAGGAGCGTTAAATTTAACCGCTCAGTAATATCAAACAAAAATCAGAAACGAATGTTTACATCTTGCAATAGGCTTGATGTTTTGGAAAAAAATGTGTAGTAATAAAATGATAAAATTAAAAGCTTCGTATCTATGTTTATTCTTGATAGGATGAATGTGTTTGTTTTAATACATGTAGTGTGGTTGCAAAGTGCTTGGCCTTTGTTCTCAAATAGATACAGTTATTGACACCAAACAATACCCTCTCTCGACTACAATGGTTTTCAGTATCTTTGAAGGTATAATTTCTTTGTTAGCTTGTGTTTGATAAGTCTACAGTTTCTGTGCAGATTCGTACTCCATCCCGTATCACATAAAGTGATAACTCGCAAGACCTATGCTCTTAAGTCCTTTGGAATATCAGTCAAAACAATATTTACAACAATTGTTTGTTTGTTTTTAAGCACAAAGCTACACAATGGGCTATCTGTGCTCTGCCCACTACGGGTACCGAAACCTGGATTATAGCGTTGTAAGTCTCCCAGACATACCACTGTGGCATTGGGGGGTCATTTACAACAAATATGTTTTCTTAAATAATCTAGTAACATGTATTATGGTCTAATATTCGTAACCATTTGATGGCAGTTGAAATTTATTTCAAAATAGAATATCTGAAGAAAAGAAAATATTCACCAGAAAGTTCCTCAAATGTGGATTCCAAGGTCACCGCACCCGCTACAAAGATTCAACGATCATCTTCAACACCAGTATAATGCCAACTTTCCTGATAGTCATGGTGAGTTAATAATATATTTTTCCATGTTAAAAATGTGGTAGTATGAAAACCACCGTATATTGCATTACAAAGTTCAATTCATTGGCTAGCTCAGTTATTAATATTTGTAATATTTTTACAAGCAGATGTAAAGAAAGGCGTATATGTCAACAATGATATTTTTAATTCTGACTCATTTTAATGAAAACTTTTATAATTCTAAGAACGCATGAGTGGAAGCAAAGAAGAATATGTGATAATATTTTAACGTTAACCGCATTATATCTGTTATATCCAGAACCAACGAAGCCTTTCGCACAATGCTTGGCCTAGTTTTAGGTTTAACAGCTACCATGGATAATACTATATACATAGGCTAAGCGTAGATAGGATGATTAATAAAGTTAGTATTTCATAATACATTATTACATCAGAATCAAATACGTTTATTACAATGTATAACTCGTAAATCGTACTTTGTGCACGTGCACCGTAGCGTGTCTAACGTTAGATGCCATACATACTAGTGTTGTAATAACATGTTAAAAGTATGACACAGTAGAATTTAGTGCACATTTTATTCCTTGCATTAATTACAAGTAATATTATTCGGAACTGCATTACGTGACGTGGTGGTTAGCATGCCGGACTGCGTGATGGAGAGTCCCAGGTTCAAGCTACAACATACCGCTGAATATGCTGTACATTCATCCGAAGAAGAGCTATAAATATTGACATTCGATCCCACCATTCGGTTAAGAGTAGCTGCATAATAGTTGGCTGGTTTTGTTGTATCTGAACATTAGGGATTTATGGCCTGGTCGTTTGGTGTACTTGCTTGTTGTTTAAGGTGCTGTGCAGGTGGACATTTGGACACAAAAAACTAGGTCGTGCACATAGTACTCAATACCTAGGTTCAACTTGACGCATGTAGCCTGTTGTTGTCACTCACGAGGGGGAGGTCACCTAGTCTCGTTCATAAGTCGTAGACTTGACACGGGCAGGTGGCGATTAGTGCACAGGTGAAAGCAACGTGAATACGTTATTCACGAAAACGCTAAGCATTTTTCTTCTGTGACGAGTTTAAAAGGAGGAATTTTTAAAGTGAATTGTAACCAATCGTCGGCAAATTTCTACCGAAGATGTCGCTTTAGTGAAACCATTTTACCGGTATGTTGGGAAGAAAACGAGCAACTGATGGATTTGTGCATTTGCTATATATATATATATATGTTTAATTGTTTTATCAAACCACACACAAATATCCGTGATAAAAGCAACAAAACTGTCTGATCCATTGTTTTAGATATGAACGTTTTAGTTTGTAGAACTTGGAAATGTTTTGAAATAGTTTTTGTTTTTATGTATTATAATGTAGTGTTTGATTTAAATAGTCTGATGGTAATAAGGAATCTCCTTCTTATGCAAATAAATAGTTGATTAGTGAAGCACCTTTCAGAAGGAAAAGAAAATTATATAGAATGGTATACGAAGCGAAAAATTCTACACGCTTAGCACATGTTAAATGAAAGAAACAGCTGGTCAGGAAACCCCTAGATCTTTACGCTCTCATAAGACAGCAGGTAGACGAACTTAGATCGGTCTCAAAGGAAGGTCATACTCCAGTGCACGTTTTATGATGGACGTCGACTCCTTCTGTTAGCATTGAGTCAACCACGGTGGAGAAGAAAAAAAATTGCCTGCAGCCGCCTAGTGTCGCGTGACTGAAACTGTCAGTATAGCACACAGAATCTGAAAGTTTTGCTTGCGTCTTTTTCTAAACGAAGCATATCAACGATCACGTTAAGAACTCTGGAATGGACGGAAATCCTGCCAAAGCGAGGAAATTAGTTGTGGGATAATCACCTTTTTTGAAGAAAGTATCAACTAAAGCGTTCGAAAAAGCTCGGTAAACAGTAATCATTTCCTTCATGTAAGGTTTTTTTTTTTTTTGTTAAGCTAACGAAAACTTATCATCGTATTAAATACCGGTACCGTTATGTAAGAGGCTTGACCACACTATTAATTGTAATGATTTTAGATACTAGTGTTGAGACTTTAATGAACTGTATGCCTTGAGTTTTGAGTTTCACGACGTCTCAGTGTCTAATTCAGGGCAAACGTTACACACACATATATATATACAGTCGAATTATAGGTTTACCGCCAGCACTACCCGGTACCCAACTTTTGTTCCCTTCTTTAGTGTTTCAACCTACTTATTATTGATCGAATTGTTTCATAATTTTAAAAATGTGCTTTATGAAATACGTATTTTATTCAGATATCTGATATTATAAGTTATGATAAGAAATACTGACTGCAGTCCATAGAATTTATTACCCTCACCCCCACAGTGTGCCGACTGCTGAGTATGAACAAAGGTTGACTTTTTTGTTCCAGAGTGGTAGTCATGCATGATGGGATCTCATGGTCAAGCGATGAACAGATCAGAGTGCGTCCTGTGATTTGGATTATTGTTGGTCTAACAAGCTTGAATATTGAAAAGGTTTCGTGAATCTTTTCGATGGTTTTTCGTCCAATAATTAAGTGCATATAATCTGAATTTATGACAAACATACTTCCATAGGCAGATTGAAGTAAACCGCCGGTCGAAAACTGTGATGACAAAAAAAAAGACGTTGGAATATTATAAACGTTGGATGATTTGACAGGTTTATAGAAACATCTTCACAGTTGTTCATTACTACTTGCCAATCAATTAAAATCCAACACAAACAACCTCAGAATTTAACGAACTCTTTTGTGTGTCATCAGCTTAACAAAGAAAACATTAAATTTATATTGGAATAATGTATGAGAATTTTCTTTATCATTCATTTTATAGAAGACTACTTGTTTCCTTAATGATATACAGAATTCTTACATATATATATATATAAATCATTATTAGTATTGGTTTGTTAATGCGGCCATTAAACTTATTAAAAATATATACATAACTGTTTGTCCGAAGTTGGCGCAAAGATACTCAAGAGATATCGGCACTAGCCGTCCCTAATTTTGAAGTGATAGGCAGCTTGTCAACACCATGCACCGCGAACTCTTGGGCTACTCTTTTACCAACGAAATATGGGACTCATTGTAACATTATAATGTCCCACAGCTGAAATGACGAGCATGTTCGGTGACGGGATTTGAACTCGTTACTCGCGGATTGGCAATTGAGCACTCTTAACCACCAGGGCACGCTATACAGAATAGAGGTAGAGCGACTGTTATGAGTGTCTGGTTATCAACCGCGGCTCGTAGAATGGCTCTGAGTCTTTCAAGTACAAACCTTTAGCTCATAGCTCAGTCATCTCTTGACCGATTTGATATCTAGTTATAGTTTTGGGCTCAGGAAGTCAAATCCTTTCGATTAATATATTTGACCACGTCCAAGAGCCATAAATTAATTTACTCTAATCCTGCCTAAAAGAATCTCACGTACCGCGGCTGTTGAGGATTCCCTCTTGTTTCAAGCATTTATACGGAGAAAACTGGGCATATTTTTCTCTTTTTTTCACCTTTGGGTTATGTTCAAATGTACTTTACCTATTAAACATAGAGGTTTTACTGATAAGATAGATATGAACCCTGTTATTTAAGTTTTATGTCTATAATGTTGGCAAAATAATTGTTGAATACTGTTGAACTATTTTTTTGTTATTTATATATATATTACTGTCGTACTTTATATAATAACTTCTCTCTATGAAGGAAAAAAAAACATCTGATGTCGAGTTAATACGAAGTGCAAGAACTGATATTTTATTCTTATATGAAACTTTTGTTTTTATTGTGAAATACCTAAAACATTGATCCGGTTATTGATGTATTCAAATCGTAGTTCATGCATGCGTGTGGATTCGGTGTTAGTGTACCGTGATTCCGCTACTGAAGGATATGGTTCTTAGTTAATGACGTATTTCCCAAAGTCTCAACTGACATTTATCACACCAGAACTTCAAGAAGGTTGGTTTCACATTTCTTAGGCCAAGAGGGTTGTCCACATAACTTCTCTAATGGGAAGTCTGGCTATCTGCCATGACTTCCGTTGCTTGGTAGGAAGTTGACCTAACCCTAGTGGACATCCCCACAAAGGCACAAATTTTTGATTCATCTTCTGACTCCATCATGTTGATATTTTCAGTTTTAGTAACAAGTACACACTGTTTCGCAGACATTTTAGAAGTATGTTACGTTTCATATTTATGGCATCTTTGGGTTAAAATTCGGAGAATACTGAATAATTTTCAATTTAGTACATGTCTTGTAAAGTTCTTTAAAAAAAGATTTGCATTTTGTAAAGTACAAGTATGCATAGTCGTTTTATTCTGAAAAAGAAATAAAAAAAACAAGTGTTCGCGAATTTTCGCATTTAATGCTTTGTGTTTACCGTAAACTAGAAATTATCATTGATCAGAACGTGTCAACATGTTGGGTTTTGTTGCCTTGGCAACTATATTAGCATTACTGAACCTTAAATAGAGATGCAAGCAGATTGCACTTACAATAAAGTACGAAACTAGTGAGTCACCCATAGCAACGACGCGTTCACGGTATTGTATGGAACAGCCGTGAAATAATAAAATTCACGTTTATTTTGGCTTTAGATGAACAAGTCTTGAAAATTTTAAGTTAAAGGTTAAAAACTACAACTCTTCTGTATTTGTTTGGTTTATGTGAAGTTAAATGGTAGCTCGCGCAAGATTACTCTGGCGTAGGTTGAATATAACTATACACAGCGATGATAATTGTATTTTATTTTCTGTGCGTTAATAATCCATATTAGCTCTTATTCGAGTATCAGTTTTCTATATTTTATCATTTCTGTCTTGTCAAACATGTTAGCATAAATGTTTCGAAGTACTTATATAAGTTCAGAATGGAATTGTAATGACGTTTATCTTTAACTTGTTATATGATGTAAGTTTTTTTTATATATCTGTTACATTTCTTTCTTTTAGGCATTTGCTCCATACCCCAACTGCCAAAGAAAATCGTGTGATATGTCTTTTAGAACTGGGCTTTTGATCTCACGTGCTACTGATCCTTATCCTCCAAGGGTTCTTTGTCATTCACCAGTAGAACGCCAGATGACAGATAGTCGACGTTATTTTTGTCACCTTGTGGATATTTGTATTTCTTAAGCTGTAAACTGAGTTTTTTTCCTGTTATATAACCAAGTCTTGGTTTGGACCGTGTCGAAGTGTAGTGACAAAGATACATTGTTCTTACGTTTAACATATATATATGTGTGTGTGTGTGAAGTGGACAAGAACGTGTTTTTGCTGATGAGAGTAGTTTTTAACTGTACATGTACACGTCACGGTTTCATTTATCTTTCAGTCGATGTTATTTATTTCATATTCATATGGTTAGTTTTTGTTTCAGTCTAATTCATCAAGACGAGTCGTGACTAAAGTATAATGACGATAAAAGATTGAATTAACATTTGTACCTTTTGTAGAGTTAGAAGTAACCATGGTTACTTTTCCTATGGGCAAAATTATGTTCTGATTAATCAGATGTATAAATGATAACTTGTTGGATAAAAAAAAATATGTTGTCATGGTAACTAACTGAACTCCATTAATTATTTACCATGGTAACAAATGTAATGAACCAGCCATCAAGGTAAGCTGGATGGTATATCTATTTGTCACGATGATCAGAATAATAAATGTAACTGTAATCATAAGCGATTACCTGTACAAAAAAAACAAAAAAAACGTGTGAGAATATTTACAATTGCTGACTAAATTAACGTGAATATTAGAAAAATCTATTATGTAATATCAACGAGACAATGTTTAAATTAAATCCTTGAAAATAACCTGAAAAGACGAGTGTTATTTTTCCTTGTTTTAAGTTATCTAGAACTAAAACTAACTTCTGTCAATTCAAAAATAACTATATTTATATCGCGTTAAATTTTCTTCAACAACAGCATTCTTAGCTTTAAGTTTGAAGCGTTTTATGTATGATTTGTTTATATATTAGACTCGGTTATTGAGAACTTTAATTTAATTTACCAGTAATGTCAGCTGTCCGTAATGATCTCAACTAATTTTTTTAGACGTGAGGTCCAGCTTGTAGTCTTGGAACATGTAGAGTAGAAGGACCTCGTGCTCGTGGTTTTTGTGTAGACTAATTAATGTACATAGATAAATGCTAGTATTTACTTGGGGTAATTAAAGCTTTCATGTTACGTGTATGTATAACGATGTTTCTTATCGGGTTGGTTATCTCTTGGTGGTGTTTCAGTGAAAGGCTTCTTGAGAACTTCGTGTTAACATGGTGTATAGAAGCTGAGAACGCTTTCAGTATAGTGTAAGATTAGTTCAAACCAAAGGAAGCTTACTTCTTGAAGTCCGGAGTATTCGAAGGGTTCCTTGTAATAAAAATGTCGAGGAAATATTCACTACATATTAAATATTAAGCTTATCTGAATATAAAGTTTTAATAGTCATTTAAAAACCAGTGTTCGTGTTGTATACAGTGTTTACTCTGAATATTATTCTAATTTTAAACTGTGTGTTTAGCTTGTGAGAATACAGGTAATAATTAAGCATTTAAAACTTGAGAATTTTTCAATACAACAGTATTCAAGAAGTCTAAATCTATTCAATTTAATGTTTAGTTGTTCGTTTTAACACATTATTGGTTTTAATTTTCAAGATAGCAATGATATAAGAATTTTAGTTGTTGAATGAGTTATTTCGTAGCATTAATATAAAAACTGACTGACATGGGCACTGCTGCTTGGCTCAAAATTTCCAAGTGATCTCGGTAAAGTGATTTATGTTGTTAATGTAATGAAATAAGGGTCAACGAAGATCTTTAAGAAATAATAACATTTTTCATTTTATTTTCTTTTTTCATATAGTAATATAATTTATCTTTTGTTGTTCCGAATTATCGTGCAAAACATAACTTAAACCTGTTACTGTTTGTTTTGCTAGATTGTACTCTCATTTATGAGTACTGTTCCTTTCACAGCCTACAGAGCTTTTACATAATTATGTTTTGTGTTTTCTGATCTTTGCTGTAAATAAAGAGAATTATTCATCGTATTTACATGTTGCAATTGTTACCTTTATTAAGTAAAAGGTATTTGATAATCATTTCACTGGTAACTTTATGGTTTTATATTTTATTATTATGTTAACTAAAATAATTATAATGCAAATTAATGATAATCACTATTTAAACTAGAAACACCAAACATACTTGTTTATATTGGATAAAAAGTCCCATATCATGATCAGCTGAGCACTGAAATTCTGAGCTGTATCACTTCTCACGGGTCCTGGTAGACCTGATAAAGCATATTGTCTCAAATGTGCTTTATGTATGTGTACTAATTACTCTTAAGCTGTACCTTTCTTATACGATTTGTTAATCAAATATTCTTGTCGTATTGCTAAGTATAGGTTGTTGGTTTCTTTATTTATTTAGTGGGACATTTACTTCAAAATCCTACTGAGAATATAAAATATTTTAAAATCTTCTATTAAGCCTACAAAAAACTTTTTGAAATTTCAAATAAAATTTCACTTTATTTTTATGTAATATAAACTGGAAACACGAATATGTTTGTTTCTATTCGATAATAAGTTCCAGACCATGATGAAATGAGCACTGAAAAGATTTAAAACTATAGTATCATATAATAATGGTTTGTTATATAAATTATTTACACAACACATTTATATTCGATAAAGTAGTATTTATTTAACATGATCAAATTTATTCAAAATAGATTGATCAGATTTTTTATGAAAATATTCGTTTTCACAACTTTCAATTTTGCGATACTTTGGTAGTGGACCGTTTCCTTTTAATACCATACAGTGATCTTTTCTTCTCTTACAGTCTTTAAATAAGGATGATTCCCACCAAATATGCTCGCCCTTTCAACTGAGGGGGCGTTATTACGTGACGGTCAATCCCATTATTCGTCAGTAAAAGAGTTGGTGGTGGGTGGTGATCACTAGCTTCTTTCCCTCTAGTCTTTCACTGCTAAATTAGGGACGGCTAGCGCAGATAGCCCTCGTGTAGCTTTGCGCGAAATTCAAAACAAACTTACTTGTGCAAAGATAACTCATAGTAGAGAAATTATTATTTAACTTCTTATATTTATTACAAATATTAATCACCAAAAATAGGAGGTTTATTTGTGCAATTATCACGAATTAAGTCCATAAAAAGTAAATAATATGAAGGCATTTCACATTTCAAACGCATTGTTACCACAAGTAAAAACTAAACCTGACAAGCCAGAATATGTAATAAAATGGAGGACAAAACGAAGACCAAATAATGAATACAAGAGATGGTTAAATAATTATTATTTGGGTGATGTTTTGCTAAACGGTTAAGTATTACATTCATCACAGAAGAAAAACGAAATTTTGAATTTTTTAAAACATTTTTGGACACTTGTTTTTCCCAAACAGTTTTCTCAGACACTCCTCTACCAAAATCCTTTAGATATTTGCTTTCCAAGATACCATTTGTGGAGGATCCATGTACGTATGTGTTATTGTTGTGGTTGTCATTGTACTCCATTGCTGATGAAGGGTTTATTATTCCATATATATATATATATATATAAATCAAATAAAAAAAGTAAACTTTTACTTGACAACTAACTACGTTTAACTTACGTGGAAGAATAGACACATCTTTAAGTAATAACATAAGCGTTATGTCAAACGTAAGTATCTGCCTAAACATATAATTAACAAATTGACTTTTTTGAAAGAGTCGAGTAGAAACTGTAAAATGTATAAATTAAATACAGTTAATATTATTTTTTGATTGCTTCTTAAGACGTCCAAGTCTTATATATTATATTTTTCTTTCTTTCAAACCCATTCTCTGCAGAAGACAAACTAGTCATATCTGTGGTAATAAATGTCTTCTGCATCAGAAAATACTGTAAGCTATCTTTTGTGGTTTCAGATTAGATAATAAGCTAACTGAGAATAAAAGTTCACAAAGAATACCAATATTATCACTAAATAGCACTGAGATTATGTAAGAGTTGCATGGTATTAACGTTCCCGCAAATATAATTCTACGTCTTGTTCTGACAACTTCAAGGTCAACTTCTCATCCAAAGAAAGGCGTCAAGCAGGAGGTTTAATAAACGTCACCTCCTGTGACGTCAATCCCTGCCCACGTGGATGTTTTCTATTATATATGTATTACTTGATAATTCTGAAGCTAAGTTTTATATTTATTATATAAAGCAGGTGCATTTCATTTGCAAAAGGTTCCTTTTTTATAACATGAGTTATGCAATATTCTCTGTACAGAAGTTTAATAAAGAGAATGTATGTTTGTTTATAGCTGTATGTGTCCCTAGGTGAGTTAGCGATAAGTTTACGGACTTACAACGTTAAAATCCGGGGTTCAATTACTCGCGGTGCACATCCATTGAAGCCACTTAAGCAGTGGTTATTGAGTAGCTACACATCCATTGAAGTCACTTAAGCAGTGGTTATTGAGTAGCTACGCATCCATTAAAGCCGCTTTGTATTTATGTGTATCTTACTGTCCTGGAGGTAACATTCATATCTCTACTGACAGCTTGGTCATTGACAAAAACGCTACTGTATTGTCTTGTATCACATAAAGAACACATCTGAGTTTCTTGACGTCATTTTTGAAGAGTATAGGTTACCAACTTCAATTGTATCTAATAACAATAGTATCACTTTCAGGTACTTTCTTCTGTGTTTCTATACTGCTCCCACTAGAACATGGAACGTTGTGGGTTAAAGCACCAAACATCTAACTTCTAATTGATCTTCCGTGACAGTTATGTCGTTATTCATTTGAGTTTTTTTTTTTTTAATATATCTGGTAGATGGAGTATTCTCAACTCTTCTGGGTGTTACCATCGTAGACAATGTCCTATAAATGTTATACCTTTTAAATATTTTATTTCAATTGTCAGTTATAAAGTTGAAATTCGTCATGGGTATTGGTTTGTTTTGGATTTAATACTAAACATCTTGATATTGGTTTTATATCTATGTGTGTATCTGTATATATATATATACATACACTTATTAATACGTTAGCAAGATATGGTGACTAATATAAAGCATTCGGCAAATTCATAGAAATGGGCACTACCAGTACTTTGAAATTTTCCTTGGGATTTGCAGCAATTGTAAATACAGATGATAGTTTGTTTGTTTGTGGCTAAGAACAAAGTTACACAATGGGCTATCTGTGCTCTGCGCACAAATACAAGTGAAAACTACATAAAAAGGCAGTGTATGATAAGCCATCTGAAGAAAATGCTCACTTCAAGACACATAATAATTTTTTTTTCAACTTGAGTAATTAATTTTTAGCATAAGACAGTGACGCGAAAAGTTTACAGTTTTAACAAAAATGTATTTTTTAATGTTCTTAAATTTTTGTCAAAACAAAAGGTTATTTTCTACCATAACTTAGAAATTCGAAGAGTTTATTAGATGGTTAACAACGTGCTTTATACACATCTGAGACTAATAAACAGGCGGCTGGCTGTTAATCACAGGTAATCAAAAACAAAATATTGTTCGAGAAATAGCAGGTGGTTACGGCACTCGACTCTCAATCTGAGGGTCGCGGGTTCGAATCCCCGTCACACCAAACATGCTCGCCCTTTCAGCCGAGGGGACGTTATAATGTGACGGTCAATCCCACTATTCGTTGGTAAAAAGAGTAGCCCAAGAGTTGGCGGTGGGTGGTGATGACTAGCTGCCTTCCCTCTAGTCTTACACTGCTAAGTTAGAGATGGCTAGCGCAAATAGCCCTCGTGTAGCTTTGCGCGAAATCCGTAACAAACAAACAATCCAAATTTGGAAGAGTTATGCGCAAATATCTCTTTTGTTAACTTTGTGAGAAAAGTATAAACAAACAGCCTTCGTTCTAGGAAAAGTAAATATCTATAAGTATACATACTTTAGTTAAAAATTCGGAAAAGAAAAATATAAGTTCAAAACCTTGTATGTTTAGGTTTTTAAATATACGTTTGATGGAGAAGTCAATAACATTTATTATCAGACCATTAAACCATAAATGAACTTTGAAATTTACGTAAAACACGGGATAGATATTGCTGCCAATATCGAAAACACATGAGGCATATATATTACATACTATCGACATTAAACACGTCAATCTAACCACTAAAGAGGGGCATATATATGTATATATATTACTACTGATATTAAACTCTTAATTACATTGTATAACTGTTATCTTTTGTCAGCTTGTATTTGATATATTTTTTGTTTGTTCTTTTGTTTAAGAGCAAAGCCACTTTGGGCTATCTGCTGTTTCCATTGCGGGGAATCGAACCCCGTACTTTAGCGTTGAAATTCATAGACTTACCGCTGTTTTGTTATTACCACTTCACTTTCTCAATCAGTATGTAGTAACTTCCTGAGGATTATGTTTAACTATTGAATATACATGACGAATTGTGCAGCAAATCTAATTGTCAGTTTGGTAAACCTCACGCGGTAGACACGAATAAGTGGTACTTGAGGTCCAACTTTTTTAAAGACAATAAACCACGAAAACACTAAAGTCTTCCGAAAGGATATTACTTTCCAGCTATGGTAGTGACACCTGCTGATTGATTTGTGAGTGTTTGCTAGTAAATGCGTGACTCGTCACTATACAGCTGTGTGAAGAAAAACCAGATTTCGTCTTGTTTGGTAGCGGTTCGACGAGTGACGTGGCTCTTGTTGAAAAACTAATAAGCGTTCTTCGTATGAAATTTATTTCTCTGGGCTGTATTTCTGTCTCACGTACATTAAATATTCTAACTTAAAATGAAACTAACTTCCTGCAAGACTGGTGTCAGTGATTATTGCTTATAAACAAAGTTATACTGTTATTATTGTTTCCTTGAAATTATTTTGTTAGTTTGTTTGTAGTTAAGCATAAAGCTACACAATAGGCTATCTGTGCTCTGCCCACCATGGGTATTTTGTTAGTAGAAATGAGTACAATACATACTTCATGAAGGCAGGATATGAATGTCTATTTATCTATCTAC